TTCAAAACAGAGATGGAAATTTCAATTTAGTTCTTCATACTTTCTATCTGCTTCTCCAGATTGATGTCTCTGTGTTGTCTGCCTTGCATTTTACTTCCAGCCAGAAATTGGTTATAATTGGTTTAAACCAGAACTTGGTTTAGTTTCCTGCAGTCAGTGTAATTGTTGACATGTCTCTTCTGTAAGATTACCACCCCTTTTCCACCCTGTTTATTACTGAGTCCAGTTACATGGTCTGTACTCAAAGCACTCTTCTTCTAATCTGTTATGGTTTTGCTTTTGTTTTGCTTTTTGGTGTTACTGAAGTTTGAATTCAAAACCTTGTGTTTACTAGGTAAGTGACCTACCACTTGATCCATGCTTCCCACCTAAAGCATTCTTCTTCTGAGAAGCATTACTGGAACCCTCTGGACTGGAGAGAAATCCTTGCTGTGTGTTCCCATAGCATCTTGCACTCCACCTATTGGAACTTAATGCTCATATTAAATTCCTTGTCTTTCCTATTAATTAGCAATAACCTCTCAGGAATTAGGAACTATGTCTAGCTTGTTTAGTATTGCTGGGCCATCCTTAACATAGTGTTTGGTGCATAGAAAGTGCTTAGTGAAAATGTGGAGTTCATAGCTTATTAAGATCAAAAGTAAATCAGAGGAAGAAAGATTTTTGCAGTATAGCCTTAAGGCTGATAAAAGAGGTTGGGACATAGTGAACCCCTTAGAACTTCATTCCAGACTTGTTAAAGGCAAGGGATATGCCTAACAGTCATAGCACATGCTGTCTCACAAGGGTTTATACCTGTGTGCTGTACAGGTTTAGGAAATGCACATTCAACTCTGCTGAGCCAACTGTGTAAGTTAAATTTGTCTTCTAATGCTTTTTTATTTCTAATATTCAAATTTTATTTTGCATCTCTGGGAGTATGGGAGTCAACAAGTCTTGAGTTGTATCAGAACGTACTAAACATTTACATGGAGTAAAGGTATGGAAGTAAAATGAATTTGTGAAAGTCTCATTGAAATTTTGCAGAAAACAGATCCCGAAATGTCTTCAAGTTGCAAGGGATGGAGCACTATCCTTGCTACTCTTCAAGGAAGTATTAGAGGAGGTATAAAACGATTCTCTATTCAGATCCCCAGGCCCATATGGTCCAGATCTGAACAGCTTGTTCTTGGTTGAACAGTTTTACTACTGTGTTTCTTAGGACCATAATAATCCTTATGATTTGGGAGAGAATACTGTGATGGTGTCAGTAGGACATTTAATACTTTTAGAAATAGTGACAGTGCATGGTATATCCCTTTGTTTCTTTCTAATCCAGAGAGTTGTAGTTTTTGCTGATTAGTTAGAGCGAGGCCAGAAACAGATCATTTCTCATCTCTAGGCTATGGATACGGTTTTCAGTAGGGTTTTACACACATAATACCACCATTACCACCATGGCAACCTAAGCAACTAGAAATAACATTAAAATGGAAACCTCTTAGCAACTGTTTTTAAACTTGTTTGACTTTGTTTTCTTTCTTCTGAAAGCTTCTCCAGGCTTTCTTGGCCTGGAGGCAACATTGAACTATAAATATGAATTTCAAGGTTACAGCTAAGCTTACTTGTCACCAGAAGCAGTCACTAGGCTAACCATAGTCAACCACAGGATTAATGTTATTTCATGCACCTTTGACCTAAGGCAGAATTTTCATTAATAATTTAGAGGAAATGAATAATTATAGATTCAAACTTGCATATATCTTAGAAAATTTAAAAGATGCCAAAGGATAAATAAGAAACCTGCTTGGTGTTAGAAAATGCTTTGTAGTATTGGACAGTTTTTGGTTATTGGTTGTAAAGGCAGATGCAAACTCCTTAACTGCAGATTCAGGCCTCATTGGCTGAAAAGATACTTAAAAGACCATTTTTATGTCCTAGTATTTATTTTCAGATAAATTTGTAAACAAATGTGAAAACACAAAACTTGGACGAGTCTGTGAAAAATAGATACATAGAGATATCTAGGGCAATGGTTTTGGTACCAGAGTAATAAGTTGAGAGGGTGTTAATTTTTCCTTTTCCCTAGACATTTCGCCAAATCTGGACACATTGTCAAAACTCTAGTGGTAGAGGCCAGGGATGCTACCAAACATCTTATAGTACAAGAATGTCAACAATGTCACTATTGAGAAGCTAGCTAGCTAGCTGATAGATGGATTAGATAGATAGATATTAATACATATAAATGTATGTGTTTACAAATCTTCATTTTTGAATTTTTTTCAGAACATAAAAATATGTAAGGAACCAATATCCATTCTAATTCTTGGATCTTTGAGCATATTTTTAGCTGTGTGGATTTAGTCATGTCACACATAAGCCTTAGGCACTGTAGCCAGGAAGCTTGCCTGTCTCTAATCAGTTCCTTTGAAAGTAGAGCTGTACTTGTCAGAATCATTTTCAGAAGAACAAGAGGCATAGGGCACCATCCTTGAAAGAGCCTGAGATAACTGAGCATCCTTGAAGGTCTTTTTGGTAACATTTTTCTTGTGCTCCTTTTGACTTTGAGGTATTTTTCTACATTGTGCTAAAAGGTTAGCCTTTAATTTATCCCTGCCCTGACCATGTAACCTTTTTGTGTATTTGTATGAACTAAAAATCAAGAAGACAAAAGGAGTCAGAAGTTGGCATGATGTGGAACTGCCTTTAAAGTTCAGATTTGTTGCTTTATAAGGTTTTGGTGATTACCTAATGAAAACTTTCTGCCATCTTTTGTTTTTGTAACTGAGAGGTATTCCCTGAAGTTTTAGAACACTTAGCCCCATATTCTGCTTCAGCTCTATTTCCAATGAAAAAAACAGAGCAATTTGTGTATAATAATTGATGCTTGGTTGTTGGTATGAAAACAAAATTAACTTTGCCTATGAGAAAAGAAAGCCTAAGAGGAATATCATGCAACAGTGATATGGCCAAAAACCAATATAACTTAAAGATGTTAAAACTGTTTTGAAAATGCAGGTGTTTTAAGGTCAAATAATTTTTGTATTCCTGATTGGTGGTATTGTTATAAAGGAGCAATATAACATCTGTCTAAAGGATGGTAATACATTGTCTTTAATTTACTTAAATAACCAAAACAACAAAAACCCCACTATCAACAGAATTCACATTGGTGGCTTAAAGAAGCTAGAAGTTTACTTCTCACTTGGGTAAAAGAAGTCTAGAGGGGCAGTCCAGAGCTAGTTTGACTTTTCCATAAACACCTGGGCCCAGCCTCTTTCTATCCTATGTGCTGCCAGCCTTGATGTGATGCCCTTTATCTAAGATGTATGCAGGAGCTCATGTTCATTCATAAACTCTGACCTGCCCATTTGGCTGCCAGTAAACATGTCAACCTGACCAGGACAGCTCAGACCTGTAAATTATGTATTAGAGGCAGGTTAGCTACCACTGTCCTGTAGGCACCTTGTATGTGCAACAGACTACCTCCATCAAGCCCAGATACTTACTACCTGCCAATTAGCAACACTCATTTAACTTGTCTGATGTTGGGCAGAAATTGTACAAGTTGTTTGATGAAATGACTTACCTCATTTTTCTTGCCCTGATTCCCATTCTTCAGAGCCTGGACTTTGTGCTGGATCAGATTTTCTGTTTTCTGATAAAACTTGCCGAATTCCCATTTAATCTTTGGTCTCTAAGTGTTTTTTCTCTTTAACATTTATATCCACTTTCCAGCCTATAAGAAGGTGGGAAAGCCAAAGAAGATTGCTTTTCTCTTTTAAGAAATTGTCCTAGAAAGCGAGAGCACACAAGGGAGGGGTGAGGATAGGTAAGACACCTAAAAAATTAGCTAGCATTTGTTGCCCTCAACGCAGAGAAACAAAGGCAGATACCTTAAAAGCAACTGAGGCCAATAGGAGAAGGGGACCAGGAACTAGAGAAAAGGTTAGATCAAAAAGAATTAATCTAAAGGAAATGCAAATTAAAACCACGCTAAGATTCCACCTCACCCCTGTTAGAATAGCCATCATCAGCAACACCACCAACAACAGTTGTTGGCGAGGATGCGGGGAAAAAGGAACCCTCTTACACTGTTGGTGGGAATGTAGACTAGTACAACCACTCTGGAAAAAAATGTGGAGGCTACTTAAAAAGCTGGACATCGATCTACCATTTGATCCAGCAATACCACTCTTGGGGATATACCCAAAAGACTGTTACTCCAGAGGCACCTGCACATCCATGTTTATTGCGGCACTATTCACAATAGCCAAATTATGGAAACAGCCAAGATGCCCCAGCACTGACAAATGGATTAAGAAAATGTGGTATCTATACACAATGGAATTTTATGCAGCCATGAAGAAGAACGAAATGTTATCATTCGCTGGTAAATGGATGGAATTGGAGAACATCATTCTGAGTGAGGTTAGCCTGGCCCAAAAGACCAAAAATCGTATGTTCTCCCTCATATGTGGACATTAGATCAAGGGCAAACACAACAAGGGGATTGAACTTTGATCACATGATAAAAGCGAGGGCACAGAAGGGAGATATGAGGATAGGTAAGACACCTAAAAATTAGCTAGCATTTGTTGCCCTCAATGCAGAGAAACTAAAGCAGATACCTTAAAAGCAACTGAGGCCAATAGGAGAAGGGGAGCAGGAACTAGAGAAAAGGTTAGATCAAAAAGAATTAACCTAGAAGGTAACACACACGCACAGGAAATCAATGTGAGTCAATGCCCTGTATAGCTATCCTTATCTCAACCAGCAAAAACCCTTGTTCCTTCCTATTATTGCTTATACTCTCTGTACAACAAAATTAGAAATAAGGGCAAAATAGTTTCTGCTGGGTATTGAGGGGGGGGAGAGGGAGGGGGCGGAGTGGTTGGTAAGGGAGGGGGTGGGGGCAGTGGGGAGAAAAAAAAAAAAGAATTAATCTAGAAGGTAACAGACTTGCACAGGAAATCAATGCAAGTCAACTCCCTGATAAGCTATGTCTATTCTTTCAGGATTTTCCGTGATATCTCTGAAGATCTGAAATCTTCAGTAGACTGATACGGCTTCACGGCAGTGATTTCTTGGGAAGTTCCACCCTGATAGTGAGTTCCTCTCAGCACTGGCCTTCTGTACTGTCAGCTGGGCCTAGCAGACAGCGCCCAGGAAAGAAGCAGAAGACTCCTGGCCTTACATGCAGAACACCTGAACAAGAAAGAACTTGCTGTGGACTGCTTTTCATTTTCAAACACAGCTTTAGAGTTCAGAAATGTGGTTTGCTCACTTGACAACCTAAGATGGCTTAAAACGTTTTAGTTTATACACTGGTACCATGGCTTGACATTTTCCCATTTTGATTATCTCTATTATTATAATAATGTATTTGTAAAGTTAAGAACTCTAAACTACCTGCTGTTAAAAGTATATTCAATGTAGGACTGGAGGTGTGGCTCAAAGCGCCTGCTTTGTAAGTGGGAAGCCCTGAGTTCATACCCCAGTCCCACCCTCCACACTGCCCCCCCCCCAAAGAAAAGCATATTCAATGCAGTTTTCTCTTGCTTTAAGAAATCTGCTCTTAAACTTTTCTATGACAGTCACTTTTCAATGAAGAAGGTTTTCACCTTTATCTATGTAAGGTGTTTGAGCAGGAGAAATGAGACTGTGACCCCTCTTAAATAATGTATCATTCCCTCTTTGAGAAAGAAAAAAATCTTAGGTGAAATGATGGGACAGCTTAGTTTATGTTGAGCTGTATGTTGCCACCAGAGGAGACACAGAAAGACTGAAGCCGTTCTTCCCCTTCTTTCTCCCTTTATCTCTCATTATAGTATTGCCAAAATTCTAAAACTTGGCTGACCAGGTTGAGTTAAAATACTTTATAAGCTGCTGTGAATGGTAATGATATGATAGAATTTATGCTATCATTAAGATTTCTCTTTTAAATGTTTTGAGTAAAAAAATCTCAGGTGTAGCAGTACTCTGATTTGTTAAGTGTATTCCTATTTCATTATTTGGAATTCTCATTAGTTACTAGTTATTAGCTAAGTAGTTGTAGACTTTTATGTTTTCTGTCTGTTAGCACAGTGCCTTGCACATGCTACTCTAGATGAATGCTTGCTGAATTGTATCTTTTTAACTATCTCAGATATCACAATAACCAGCATTTTATACGGTGAGTCCCTCTGCACATATTATTTCACATCAGGTTTCATACAGCTTTTTTATAATTTTACAGTAGTTTCACACTAATGGGGAGCTAAGGTTCAGAAAAGTGACCAGTGCAAAGGCATAAAATTTAGTAAGATTTGGTCACAAAGGTCTTTCTGAGATCATACTCTACAAACTGTGCTATACCATGGAACATTTTTCCTAATGTCTTAGGCAGTTTTCCCAGTACTATGAACTAGAGTAGGTGTTGCTGTCCATTTGTTATGAATGAAGACTTGTCCTACAGTTAATGAAATGGTTGGAACTAAAATTCACCTCCTAGCATTGTACCCTTTCCACCATTTAAAACAATCATCATGCCCTTCCTGTACTCCCAAGGGAATGTGGAACAGAAGGAATTTGTGTCAAAGATTTGCTTTTTGGAAAACATTTAAGAGTAGAAATATTTTTTACTGAAGCATCTCACTAAGAAGTTAATGTTAATTAAATTTATTCTTACTTAAGATAAATCCCATGCAGAAAAGGCTACCAGATGTCTCTTGACTGTAGCTTCACAATTTGCTGCATATGGGTCTCTTACTTGTCCTGTGAGTCCTACAGTGTTTAGAATCTGCCATTCCATCAAGTGTGAGATCTGACCACTGCCTAGCTTACTCTCAGTCAGTTATTCAGTGATTCCTTTGCTCATTAACACATCTCTTGAGTGTTTTCCAAGCTCTAGTCATCACGCCAAGGACTGTACTGTAGGAGATAACTCATGAGACGCCTTCTCCCACTTTAATCTCAAATTACAAATTTTTGATCACATATAATATTACACATTTTTGCATTAAAAGGTAAAGAAATCAACTTTGTTTTTGTTAACCCTATGCTGGTAAGTTCGTAAGTGTAACTAGCAAATATTCATAAGAGGCAGGTATTATACACAGTGAATTAGCATGCATATACAAATTAAAGTGTTTTTAGCTGTGTAAAGTGATATTGCAAAAGGCTAAATTTGAGCCTATGTTATACTGCTTTTGGTATAATTACTAGCATGAATACCAGGTTTTTAGAGGGGAACTCTGAGCTCTAAGAGACTAGGTTAGAGCTGCCTAAATTAGCAACAGTGATATAATACTGGCCTGAAATATTAGGAACAGAGGTGCTCCAGAGTGCTACACATTTCTGATCAGGAAACTTGAACTGCTTCATTGCTACAGTGACAGTTTAAACACTAGGAAGGTCTTAGAGCTGGGGAGTTCAGAATAGAGAGAAGTGCCCTAGTATGTGGCCTCAGGTGCAGAGGAGGTTTTACAGAATTTTCACAGGGTATAGATTGAGATCAGGTGGTGTGAAAAAGTAGGCGTCTAACACTCATTTCTCAAAGATAATCTGAGACTCCATCAGAAAGAGAAGTTTCCCTAGGAACAGACAATGCATCCATGAAGTAGAAGTAGCTTTAGTAAAAACAGAGTACTGAAATCTGTCACATTATCTTGGCTGTTATTGATTCATTAAAGATTAGTGTCAAGTTCACATTCCCTTTTCAGATATATACAGAATGGTTGCAGGAGGAGGTAAAAGCTCTGCTGATGTCCTCTTCTTTCCAAGAGAGAACAAGGCATAGCTTTTCAGCATAAATTCCATATCATGTAAGTCCTGCTTTAATTCTGTTCCTGGAAGTGACCTCTGCTAGACTGATTGCCTTAGATACCAGTCTTAGATTTTGTTAAAATTGCAAAGTTTCCTAACCCTTTCTTCCACACAGATGGTTAGCTGGCAGTTTTTCCTTGGCTTCTGAGATGAATGTGTGTCGGCTTTTGACTGTGGAAAGATGCCCAAGATGGGTTATATGGAGATCCTCAATTTAAACAAACTCTGTATAGTCTTTGGAATTGGCAGCTGCTTATTCCAGTTAAAGGGTCTTCTGGCTAAGCTTGCCCTTAACATGAATGCATTGTGACCTATCAGGACTTTCTAGTACTGTAGGTCCCACTTTGGTTATATTAGTGTTTAAGGAATGTGTCATTGCTAAGCAAGAAATACTCAGAAATCCAAACCATGAGGGATTAGATAAGAACAGATAAATTTAGGTGAGCTGTCCAGAACTTTCAACCTGAGAGTTTATAAGAAAAAATCCTGAGGACTTCCCATCCTCCAGGACCCAACCTTGCAGTCTCCTCTGAGGGTCTACCAAGACCCTTCCAAGAGCATTACAGTAAGATTTTGAGTGCCCTTTTACGGTGGAAATAGGTTCTGACAACACACCCCTAAATGCTGGTTCTAGCTAAGAACAAATACTTTTTATTTTTATCCATTTCTTATCTTTAAGCATTTTGCCATGAAAACATTTTCATTTCATTAACTTATTTTGATAACCTGCAAAAAAATATACACATATCTGAAGGCACTGAGCAGTTTTTGGAGTTTAAAATAATCAAGAATGTTCTTTCTATCTACTAGAGTCATAGAAGTTCTGCTCTACAATGGGCCATATATGATTAGATAACTATCATTTTCTAGAGAAGGAAACAAAGTAGCTTATCTAATACACACACACACACACACACACACACACACACACGCAGCCAGTGTGTAACAGAAGTCAAAGTGGAATACAGTTCCTTTCTCTCTTGGCCCATGTTCTACTGCTTTTCCATTTTCCTTATAGTTGAACAGCTTTTGGCAAAATATGTTTCTTATAGCGGTAGTTCCAAGTGGTATTAATAGATGTTGTAAGAGGGGAAAAAAAAGTGTGTGTGTATGTCTGTGAGTGTGGTAGGGAGGCCATGGTCAATTAAAATTGAGGAATGCTGAGTTTATTTCCTTTACTTGTACTTAGAGTTTTTAACATGCTATGATAACATTGTGAATTTATAAGATGGGGCAAAAACTACTGGACCTTAGATTGTATCCCACCTGGCCTTTTCTCAGAGCATCTCAAAGGACTGTGGGTCCTTTGGGAAACAGCTCTTGATCAAGCTTACGAGTCTTTTAAAAGACTATCCCCAGTGAAAATACAGTGACTCTATTACTGTAATACCATGTGATCTTTGATAATCCCAACAGTTTAGTGAGATACTAAACAGAAAGTGTATTTGCTATTCAGAATTATACTTAATAGAGGTTCTTTTCCACCTATGGTGTGTAAAATCAGTATTTGTGTTTAATTTTGCAAGGATTAATTATTGCACAAAATACAGTAGTAATATATTGATATCAATTACATTTTCATAATGCTTTTATTTAGCACTTTATAGTTTTCAGACACTTTGGGAATAGCCCTGTGAGTTAAGCAGTATTATAGTCATTGCACAGATGAGGCACTGGATGCTCTGAAAGTATTTTTTATTTTGTTCTTTTTTCATTTTCTTTTTGTAACTTTTTTTTCCCCCTAAGTTTGTACCACAAAAGGATGAAGTCAAAATTCAGTTGAATTTCTGACTCTAAGTCTAGAATTCTTTATGCCTGGACTTGTAGATTTATTATTTTACAACAAAAGGTATGGAGGTAAATCTTAAACTAACATTGTATTTGACTTATTGTGAATACCAATTCTTTTGTATTTTGTGACCCAGAATCATAACTCTTATCGTAACTATACCAGAGAAGAGCCTTCTCTGCCCTCACAGTGAAATGTGTTTGGGTGACTGGAGTGTATTTCAAATAACATTTGATTGCGAAAGTAAGTAGTCAAAGTTGTAATTACAGAACTCTGAAAATGTATCAGCTTTGCATCCTCAGGCAGAGGAAAGATGGCTCCAGAATAAAAAAGAATATTCAAATACAACAATAAATATTCTTTATTCTTACACAAATGCTTTTTCTTAGCTTTAACTTGCTTTGACAACCTACTACTGTAATAACTTCTTTGTAAAATATTTATATTTTGAAATAAAATTACCAGTGTTGAATGAATCAGGTGGTAAACTTAGCCTCTTGTCTCTTGATTTGTGTGTGTGTGTTGTTTCTTGTGTAGCAGGGATTACTGATATGAGCCACTGTGCCCTCCCAAGAAATTTGATCTACCATCAGTCCTTCAGGACTTTATATCCTGCTTTTCCTTTGGCACCAGTGCCTACACTGAATTTTTATGAAATATGGTCATCTTACATGAGATTCGGGAAGTTGTGTCTGAGGAGAGGTTGCTGGAGACTTTAAAGAGACCAAAGGGTCTATGTCTGAGGCTGATGCCCTCCGTGCCTTGGGGTAGATAGGAAGTGTGCAAAGGATGGCTGAGGAGTAAGAATCAGAAATAAAGAGTTGAATTCAGCAACTATATTACTGAACAGAAAATAAAATCTATGCTTGTGCATAGATTTTTGGTCAAAGATAACCTGTGCATATTTCAACAGTATTTGGGAAAGAGGCTTCCACATCTCAAGTTGATGGTACCCAGCTCACTGGTCTGATACGGATGGGGAATGATCCTGGCTAATGTTGAGGGTGGACTAGCTAGCCTCAGATTCTTACCTGATGGGCTTTCATTGGTGGGTACTTCAGAACACGTTTCTTTTCAGCCTCCTGCTTAAGTCTGGAACTTCAGGCTTCTGACAGCCTCCATGTGGGTTTGTTCCTGGAAACCTGAAGGCGTGAGCTGCAGACTGGACACAGAACTGATTCTTACCCTTAGGTGACTTCGGAAATTGAAACTGATCTTTTCACTCAGTGAACAGTTATTAAGAAACTGCTGTGCCTGGCACTAGGAAAAAATAATTTTGGGAAAGTTTTAAAAATAGTATTGGGCAGTGGACATTTTTCAAGTTTTAATTCCCTTTTGAATAATTCTACACAGTTTGAGAGCTACACTGCCTTCTTGATGAGTTTCCAAGCATTCTGTATGTAATTGTGCTACTAATTTTTTTTGCGATACTGGGGTCTGAACTCAGGGCCTCACGCTTGCTTTACCGACTTGAGCCACTCCACCAGCCCCCAGATGTTTGATCCAATTCTAAGTGTGAGAAATAAATGGTCAGGAAGCAGGAGTGGGGGTTGGGAAGAATGGGACTTTTCTGAGAAGCCTCAAAGACGATAACCTGTCAGATTCCTGTCGCAGGGTAGAGGTGCCACGGCATAGACTAGACTCTGGTTCTGCTCTACCAGTTTCAACCCCAGCACAACTTGACTTTTGGGGCAAGTCACCTAACGGGAAGATGACTGCTGCAGGCATTTGTCCTCTTGTAAGAACCCACGTGGCCATGGGAAGTCATCAGTAGCTTCTCACTGTTCAGGTGAGATGCTCCGCACGCACTGCGAAGGGGGCGGGGCCTTGCGGAGCGGGTTCAGCCGAGGGGCGGGGCTTCAGAGAGCAAGCCCCCGATTGGAGTTCGTCGGGCGCGGGGCGGGGAAGATGCGATGGCGTACTACTGAGGGCGGGGCCAGAGGGGGCGGGGTCGCTCTGGGGGCGGGGCCTTGGCGGCCCGACGCGGTGCAGTGCGGCCGCCGCAGAACCGCGGTCTGGTTGGCCGGCAAGCCGTGGCGCGCAGAGCGAGCTGCGCGACGGGCAGAGGGCCATGGCCTCCTCTGCGGGCTCCGCGGGCGTCGGCGGCGCCGGAGGATTACACGGCTCCAGTCCCTCGGGCTTCTTCTTCGACTCGGGACTCGAGATCAAAACTCGCTCGGTGGAGCAGACGCTGCTCCCGCTGGTTTCTCAGGTAAAGTGGCGCGCGGCGCGGCCCCTCTTCTCGCCGCGATGGCGGCTGCGGCTTGCGCGACCCGGGCCGGGCCTGGAGGGGCGGGAGGCAGCCGCTGCCTCACATTCTGTGCGGGCGCTGCGGCGTCGCTGTCGCACCGCCCATGTGGGAGTCGGAACCCGGCGGCGGCCTTGGCGGCGGGGGACTGAACCCCACAAAGTCCCGCGGCGAGGCCGAGGGACCGCTGTGCGGGGCCGGGCCGGGCGGGCCGCGGAGCCCAGCAGGTGCGCGCTGTCCCGCCTGTGCCCCCGATCCTCTCCGGGAGCCCAGCTCCGGATCAGAGGGGACCCGCGGCTCCCCTGGCACCTAAGGAGGACCCTGTTAGCTGCCGCGTGTCATCCGACTGCGCGTCCCGGGCCAGACCCCGGCGCTGGACTCTGTCTGGGGCATTCCTGCTGGCCTCCCGGGCCAGCCTGCTGTCCGAGGCCTTTGTCCCTCGCCCCTGCCCGTGCGGGCTCGCCCAGCTCCACTCGCCCCGGCCACCCTGCTGTCCCCGCACCTGTCTGCTCGCTTCTGTCTGCGTTTGTCTCGCCTGTTGGGACCGTGCCTGGAAGGACAGCCTGAGACTTAAGCCGGATGCACACCTTTTTGCCAAGTCCCACTTGGGATGCATTTGTCATTGTACTCGTCGGTCGTCAAAGAAGTCTGGAATCAGATCACCGATGTGCTTAGTTTTTGGGGTTTTTTTTTAAGTTTTTGTTATTCTGAGCTGAGGTATTCATAACCCGAGGGCTAGGGTTCCTCACCTACCTCTATGGTAATGTGCCAAATGCTGCAAGGAGTGAAGAATGCTGTGCCTTTGGCAGCGTGTTGGCGATGGGTGACTCATACTGAGGTTGTAACATCGTGGTGACTCACGCCAGGATTGCCGAGATTTTAGAAGTAGGAGTCTTAAATTATCCGACTTTAAATTAAAAAACTCTTTCTTGTAGCATCCTTGACACCTGGTCACCATTAACCCTACTTAAACGTCTTCGGTGAAGGGGAGGCAGCTGCGGTTCCGTAGAATTTGAAATGCTATTTCTTCTCCAACCCAGCCTTGTAAATATTTGAAAACGGCAGTTACATATGTCCCTAAATTCTTGTTCTGCTGATTAAATTAATAGCCTGTGTTCTTCACCTGTTTCACATGGATAATAGAGTAGTGATGGTACTGACACTCCTCCTCCCCCTGCTTTCCCCACTCTGTCCCTCCCTGTCTAATGGTAGAGGCACTGACCAGGGGGCCCAGCGTTGAGATCTCTTAGTAATGTCTGCACTGCCTTTTCTTCCCCCAAAATAACACCACCACCACCAGGACAACCACAATCCAAAGTGAGAAGTACTGGGGCACTTCTATGAGACAGCGATGGGAGAGTAATGAAATTCAAGTTAATAGTATTTTATCCACTTATTTAATAATACATGCTAAGCCATGTTTTAAGCACTTTGTAAATAGTAACTCCTTAATTCTCATAACAGTCTTGTGAGGTAGATACATGTTTATTCTCATGAAATAGGTGAGGAAATTGAGGATTAGTGAGATCAAATGACTTATATCATTAGGGCTTTCAATATGAAGTGCCAAGTTGGGATTTGAACCTAGGCAGCATGGCTCCAGTCTTTATTTTAGCTACTACAATGTGCTGTGTGCCCTCTAGAGATGTAAGGCAGCGGTGAGGTCAGCTCATGGTAGGTATGGAGCAGGGAGTCCACATGGAAAACAAGTGGGAAAGTTGTAATCTGGAGAAATGGTAACTTTTTACAGTATCACTGCTACAAATGTATCAGTACTCTCTGCTGCATTGTATAATTCTGGGGTAAAAGGGTGGGGAGAATAGAGGAGGAGAAAGTGTGATTCCTGCTAAGAGTTACTAGAGGTCAATGCCAAAGCAGGAAAAATACCTGCTTTTTATTTACTTTTTTTCTTCTTTCTTTCCCTGCTAAAGCCTGTTCAGTATCACAGCTGAGGTTCTGCACCCCACAACTATATCTGATAACTGATATTCCTAATTGACTGTCCTCAACAATAAAAAGTTAAGTTTCACTTAATACCAAGAAATGTATAAAGCATGGTCGAAAGAGTCTTGTTAACAGGGCAAGTAACAGAAAAAAACAAAAACAAAATAACCAGGGCAGACACAATTTAGAATGATCTTAAAGTTTCTGTGTGTATTAAAAGAACTGCAGCTCTTGTATGTCCAGATGTCTCTTTTCTAAGGATGCTGTATTATTTTACAACTCATTTTTTACAACTTATGCACAAGGATATTTTAAGCGCTTTAAGCAAGGACTTGTTACATGCTTACTAGTTGTTGCTGCTCTTTAAGTACATAATAGTACAGCTGGTAGATAGGGCACACATAGAATAGTACTTTCCAAGTGTGGAATGAACATCAACAAATAAGTGCTCAGAGAGCTCAGAGAAGGAATGGATGAATCAGAAATGGTGCTGCGGAAGAGATGGGGTCTTGAGGTAAACAAATAAAATTAGCATTGTAAAATCTTCTATTTTGGTATCTCACTTTATCATCTCCAAGTGAAAGTCCTGAGTTACAGGCTTTATGCTAGGAATACAAGTTTGTGTCAATATTAGAATCCTATGTATAATTTTTGACCTTCACCAACTAGAACATACATGTGTTTATAACAATAGATGCAAAAAAAGCATTGAATTGCATTCAGCTTCTAATCATGATGAAAAACTGTTTAGTAAACTAGCAGTAGGGAAAACCTTCCTTGCTGGGGGTGTAGCTCAGTAGTAGAGTGCTAGCCTAGCATTTATGAGGTTTTGGAAACAAAAAACAAAAAAAATTGATCCCAGCACTGAAAAAAAAAAAAAAAAGTCAGAAAAACCTTCCTTAACCTGATGAGTATCTATAGGAAACTTACAATTAATATCATAACTGTAATCAAATTTAAACTGAAAATTTCCTTTTAAAGCAGAAACAGGAGTAGGATGCCTACTATCACATATTTCATTCAATCTGTACTAGAAATCCTCCCCAACTCAATAAGACAGGGAGAAGAAATAAAAGTATAGCAATAGGAAAAGACAAATCAAAAGTCTCATTGGGATATGACTGTCTACATCGAAAATTTAAGTTTATGAATTAATTATAAAAATTAGGAACATTGAGGTGGCTCACAGAATATGGAATAAGGATAATTGCATTATAACAAACAAAAAGTAATTCTAAAAAAGGCAAGTTATAATAAAACAGCAAAATATGAGGTTTCTAGAAAATTATATATATAATTTATAATATCTACAGTATAATATATATATATATATATACACACACACGTATATGTGTATATGTGTATATATGTATATAAAAGAGAGATGCCAGACTAAATGGAAACAATTTTTATTGAAAGCCAAAGTAGAGCTGGAGGCATGGGTCAAGCAGTAGAGTATCTGTCTAGCAAGCAAGAAGCCCTGAGTTCAAACCTCATACTGTCACAAAAAGAAAGCCAAAGTAGATCTAAGTAAGTGAGAGAGAGGTACTATGTTCATGCCTAGTTTGGTATGATATTGTAAACATTTCACCTTTTCCTGTTGATCTAAAAATTTAATGTAATTCCCATGAAAATTTCAATACAAGTTTTTAAGTGGAAGTTGATGAAAGTAATTCTAAAATTTTGAAATTTTATATGAAAGAACAAAAGGGCAAAGAGTAGCCAGACGGGAAATAAGGTGGGTGGACTTGCTCTACCAGGTTTCAAGATTTATAGCTATTATATGGAAATAAGAACAAGGAGGACAAAATAGACCAGCCACACACAATAAAAAGCCCTGGACCAGGTCCACTCATACATGAAAACTTGGTAAACAATTTCTGGTCAGTGGGGAAAGGAAGAACTTTTTAAAAAATGAGACTAGGACAATTTGTTATCTAAATAGAACTACATGAAATTAGATGTTTGTCCCATATCATAGAAAAATAAGGAGGGAATACACACACAAATCAATTTCAGATGGATTAAGGACATCAATAAGAATGTAAAAACTGACTCTTTTAGGGAAAGAAAATAAGGCACTGTTATCATGACCTCATTGGGGAAAAGTATTTTTTAGTACACCAAAAGTTCGAACTCTAAGCAAAGATTGTTAAATTTGGCTCCATTAAAATGAAGAACCTGGCAGGCCTGGTTGTGCATATCTATAATCCTGGTACTGGGAGGAGGATCTCAAGTTTGAGGCCAGGCTGAGCTATATATCAAGACCCTCTTTCAAAATCAAACATGCAACACTCAAAACATGAAGAACCTCTTTTCATCAAAAGACATTATAAAAGGTAAGCTATAAAGTGGAGAATATGATTACAACACAAATCACCAAGAAATGATTGGTGATGCCCAGGATAAAGTACTGCGATGAATCAAAAATAAAAAGATTAGCTGCTAGAAGCTGATAAAAGCAATAATCATCATATAAAAGAGGAAACAAACAGCTAAAAGATAAGTTAAAAGGTGTTCAGCTTCATTAAAAATACAAGCGAAATCACAGTGAGAAGTATTGGCAGGAAATGTGGAGGTAGTGGGAATGTCAGTGGTAAAGCCATATTGGGAAACAGTTTGCTTGTAATCTGTTTAAATTGAAGGTAGAAGCTGAGGATGTAGTTCACTGGTAGAATGTGTGCTTAGTGTGTGTTTAAGACCCTGGATCTGATCCCCAACAACACAAAAAAAAATAAAAGATGAACTAAAATAAAATTAAAGGTGGGCTGGGCATTGTGGTTCATGGCTGTAATCCCAACACGTGGGAGGCTGAGGCAAAAGGATTGTGAGTTTGAGGACAACCTGGGCTACGTAACAAGTTATAGACCAGACTGAGCTACATAGCAAGACCCTGGGTTTAAAACGCACACACACACACACATTCACATACTCACACATACTCTCACACACACTGTCTCACACTCACACACACACATAGTCTATATCCACAAAGAAACACCTGCAACATGTATTAGAGA